GTCCTCTCCTCATTCCGTTTGACTGTGTCCAGCCTCTTTAGATCCTGTTAGGAATATTTCAGAATATTTCATTCATTCTGTATTCAATGCTTCCAAATGATCCACCACAGACTTCTTTGGAACTGAGACTAGTTGTGAAGATAATAAACATGTTTGATTTATAGAAACTCAGGCCAAATAATCAGACGTTTCTTGGGTGGACTCTCACAAATTGTTCCATGAACAGCATTCATGGTGACCAAGGACATTTCCTTTGTACAAGCTTTATTTCTAGAGATAAGTGCTCTGGGCCTAGCTGGAACAGACCTGAGGAGAAACAGCATTCAGTACTTATCTAAAAGGGAAAAGAAGAATCAAGTGTTTTGTCATTCAGGGGAACTACTAAATGTTTCAATATTTACGAAAGTGTTTTGGCAAGGCAAACTTTGTCTCCATTTGTGTCACAGTCACATCCTGAGTCAGAGAATGATTTCATTGATCTGCCCCAGTCTTCAGTGTTTTCACGCCACCATTGATTAGGTAACTGAGAGTGTTGTGTGGGAGGAATATCATGACAGTAAAAATGAATGTTCTTTTAAAGTGTAATTAAAAACACTGCGTGGAGAGATTTTGTGCATCAAAGAAATTCAAAAACTCTGTTCACTAATCTAAAGCCTTCTCAGACTATTTACTCCTCCTGCGCTCACCTGGGAGAGTGGAAAGTGGTCCTGCCTGTCATCAAAGCTTCTGGAATTAACCAGGCACCTGGAGATTCCAGCACCGAGTCCAGAGAGGTTACTGGGCACCTTATAGGAAGGAATTTGGAGACACTTGGAAATTCCTACAAGGCCCTGGACACTTAGAAGGTGGTCCCTGGGGATTGGGGGTGGGCACCTGCTTTAGGAGGCCCCAACACACTGGCTGGGCTGACCCACTCAGCTTCTCTCTCCTGTGGGAGAACTAAGTGATGCCATGAATAGAAGGGGCTGCACACAAGGCCCAGGGGGTAATGAGGGCTCAGCAGATTTTAAACCCAAAGACCACACCTTGGAATTTTCTTTGACTTATAAAACTCCTGCCCACAATCACTGTAATTGGGATAGTTATTATAAGCCCCACAGGCAGCACAGGCGAGAATTTCCCCAGGTCTCAGAGTGAGAGCTCAAACTGAGAGAAGGAAGGCCAACCTATCTTTGATCTCTTTCATGCCAGGGACATTTCTGAATGAAGCATCTATCAAACAGCTTTTTTGTTTTGTTTTGGTTTGCTTTGGTTTTTTTTTCTAGAAAAGCCTAACAATTTTCATGCTAGAAAATTTAGTATCATGGTCCAAGTCTGGATAGATTCAGAGCTAAGATTGCTTATTTTAACAAGTTGGATTGGGACACCGGGGAGGTGAAAGGCGGTTTTCCACCATGACTCTTTTTCTGTGCATCCTCTGAGTGTGTAGCTTTAGCCTCGGGAGTGATTGTCTACTTCTGTCCTGGACAGACTCAGATCATTAAATGTAGCAAAACGCACTGCTGAGGATTACATCTCATCTCTCTCTCCCCATCCAGCACCATGATAGGGAAAAGGCAGGCAATTTCAGTTCCTGGGATCTCTAAGAAAGGACTCTCCTTAACAAACAATAAACACACGGGAAATTCTTTCCTATTTTGGTATCAATCTCAACTATCAGCCAATCTATTGAAGGCAGGATTTTTACCCAGCTAATGCATTCTTTATCTTTCATAGTGTTTCTTTTCTTCTCAACTTCATGTGTCATGGAAATACTGTTTTCTCTCTTTGCTATACAGACCCAAAGGTAATTTTGATTTTTTTCTATAGTTTTCGTCTTAATTGAATTTTGTTAGTTGAATGTACAGCTGTGTCTCTCCAACCCCTCCACTTGCCACCCCCAGAGCAGAAAATTCTCTTTGTCTCTATCTCTCTCTTTCCTAAAATAGAAAGTTTCCTAGTTTGGAATCAGCCAACAGTGTGATTAATGTATCTCAGAGACCTTGTAAAGTTTTCACACATGCTGAAGATTCTTCAGTGTTTGGGGGATACTGATGAGGACTTGGGGTAAAATATCATCCTCTTGTGCTGTACACTGCCCAGGAGCGTCGCTCGGCCACAGAATGGCATCTCTGCAAACACTTCCCCTGAATTTGCATGTATGTGTGTGGATATGTGTGTGTATCTGTGTACTCTGTAACCAGCAAATTATAATCCAGGTTTCTTCTCAAAAAGAGCACCAGTTCAACTGCACAGCTGGGTATGCCAGAAAACACATAATTAGGCAAATTGGATTTAAGAGTTATGTAAGGTCTCAACTGAGCCAGTGAATAAGAAGCTGAATGAGAGGTTGTGATTGCTGCTCTGGTGCCTGGAAAGAACAGAATATGCGGCTATGTGTGTTTCGGGCAATGAAAGGCGATTACTGGGAATTACGGAGTGTAGCCAGCCTTGCATGAGAGTAGACTACAGCGTGTCACAGAGGGCTGTGCTGGGAAGAGAATGTTGTCTGTGGCTAAAAGGGAGAGAATGTGAAAGATGTGCCTAAAAGGAAAAGATTGGGTGAATACTATTTTGGAGTTACATTTAGGAAACTATAAAGGGTGATAGAAAAATTATATAGTATACAATTTTTCAATAAGCTATAAAATGACTTAGAGAATTTTAAGTATAAAAGGACACATCATATATTATTATTTCTTCTCTGAAAGTGGACCTTTCCAGCCAAAGCAGGTATACTCTGGAGAAGGTAGCAAGCAAAGTCTCCAGTTTCAGAAATTTTTACTAAGAATACACAAATGTTGAAGATAAGTCCCTTCATAGCATTATGAAGCTAAAACCAAAGTACCAGTTTTTCCTATTTGCAAATAATCTTATTTGCAAATTTCTCTCAAGGCAACTGAATGAAAAGTAGATATTCTTCTCTTTATAAAATATCCCTGAAATAAATGGGACAGAAAAGCAATTGTCTGACAGTCTATTTTCTTAAAGAAAACATCTGGATTAATTGACAGGACACCAATTCATTTGGGTCTTGTCTCTCAGTGAGAAATTAAAAAGAAATATATATGGATTTTTATAAACATAAGGATTTTATGTTTATATATATAATCCAAAAGTGATTATGGTGTAGCTAGCTTCTGGGTTTTTGTCTAAAACTCTTTATGTATATAAAATCCTTGCCAATGATACTAATAACATTCTGTCTATGGATGCTGCCTAACCATTAAAATGTCTATTAGGAATTTCATGTTTGGTTTGAAATACTTATACTTTTACACTTTATAAAAAATGTTTTGAACATCTCTAATTTGCAAAGCACATGTTACAGATAGTGGCAAATACAAAGATGCACAATGAGTCCCTTCCCTGAATTTATAATCTACACTGTGTCCCAAGGTTGTTACTAAAGTTTCCATACATAAGGAAAGTGGGAACTTGTACATAGATCTAAGTTTACTTATAAAAAAATCCATTAAAAGATTTTATAAAATATTTATAAAATAATCTCCATGTGTTGGCCACCTCTTTGTAAAATTTTATAATGGATATTTCTTAAATAAAGGTCCAGTTAACTATAATTTCACAATTTCCCTATGTATGGCGACTTTAGGGGCGACCTTTGAGATACCTGGTCGTGAGAGACCGCAGTATCACCGGGAAGTAGACATGGTGTGTTGTTGGCAACTTTGCTGTGTACTTGGTGGTTGTATATCAGGATTTTTCTTTTATGTTGATGGTTACAAAGTATATTTGAAGAAGTATGTTTTCTTGTGTTACTGCTTGAACTGTACTTTGCATTTTATATCAAGTTCTTTTATATCAAAGGTATGCCTGTTTTAGACAAAAACCAAGAAAAAACCAAAGATTACTATACTGTAATCACTTTTGGATTATATATATAAACATAAAATCCTTGCATATATATATATATATACATATATATTTCTTTCTGTGTGACCATCATGATGTTTATAATAAAGTATGATATTTAATACTTTCAAACTGATGATTAAATAATTCTGCACCATTATGGGTACTGCAGTTGCCAAAATGTGCTGATCATAAATCAAATTGAGACCCTTAATGGAAAATTACAAAACTTACATAATCTGATAAAGACTGAGCAGATTCTCATGTTTGAGAAACCTTTAAGTTTTTCTCAACAGATGTTACCAAGTTATCAAATTGCAGATGTCTTGTTTGGAGCAAAGTCCCCCTGCTCCCCATTCCTTTCTGGGGGAAGCTTTTTGAAGTTTGTCACTGCAGGTGAAGAGACTGAGACCATCCACAGGGAACAAGGCATGGTGGGGCAGTTAAAGTGATCACAGCGTAGCCAGCTTCTGGGTTTTGTCTAAAACTCTATTACAGAGCGAAGAGAGTGAGCTGCCCCATATATTCCAAAAACTTTCAGAAATGTCAAAGAGGGCAGGTGAATTTAGTGTAACTTTTCCTAAGTTAAATGAGAGCTCTTCATCCTGGAATGGCATCCCAGTACACCCCTGAAACAGAAGGGTGTTTGCTGTTGTCCAGTGAGTGTTCGCGGAGTTAAGGTACTTTATAACCCTTCCTAGGCCAACAGCCATCAACCCCCACCCACTTCTAATGGCAGAGGACAGAAAATTGAATTAAGTAAAATACATTCATTTGGTTTGATCATTAATAATTTTGTGACATTATGTCTGAATTCAGGATTCATTAAGACATAAAGATAAACGAGGAGAAAAAAAGAAATAGCCGTTTGGGGCAACACCCATTTATGATTCAAAATCACAGCTTATTCTTTGATGCACTTCCTGCCTGAGTCTCCACCAGATGAGTGAACTTGGGCATAGTGAGTACTTTCTATTCACTTTGTTAGGACCAAAGAGTTGTTAGTTTTGATCTGATAAAACTTTCCTCTAAACTTGAATATTTATAGACAGAATTGCTGGTTTATTAAACCAAATCCAATGTTGATCTTGTCTGAGGGAGTAGGAATAAGAACAAAAACACATAGAAGTAAGCAAGTGGAGACTTACCGTATCACGTTGCCTGTTATCTTTCCCTGATATTATCAAGAAGTAGTTCCATGTCAGTAGCAACAACAGACCCAGTGGTATCATGTAGAGCTCAAAGTTCCAGACAACAAAGAGAAAGAGCTGGAGGAGAGAGAAGAGAGCAGAAAAGATGAGGCAACTCTGAATTTCATTCAACAGACTCTCACTTACCCCCACTGCAAACCCCACAGAGCTAAATACTTTAGAAGGGCAAGCTTTATCCTGAAAACAAAGCCCTGGGAACTTGTGAGGCGTTTTTTCTAAAAGCACAATTGACCCCTGGAAAGTCACTGTTAAGATTTTTAATCTGTTGAATTTCTATAAAGGAAATACTGATATCATTACCTTACCAAAGAAATAATTTTATTTTTTTTCCTCCAGTGAAATTATTGTTTGGTTGGACAAAATAAAAAAGACAGCAAAATGAGCTTCCCTACATTGTCAGAAGTAGTTCTATCTACCTTGATAATAAAAAAATGAATCACTATTTAATATCAGGGACTTTAAAAAAACTCACATAGACAACACAATGTAACAGGTATAAGAGTTAGACAAAACGAGCAGGCCTATGCCAGCGAGCCACAAAGGTTTCACACTGTGGAAAAAACATTGCTACCAACTATCAACAAGTGTAAGAAGAAAGGTCAGCTTGACACTCAGCATTACCATAGAAATTAAACAGCTATTAAGGGAAATTTTGTGAAAGTAAATTTTAAAATGCTTCTTTGTATCTTTTTTCTAACACAATCTACTTCTTAACGTATATAAACTTTTTCATTGTAAGACAAATGTTAGATTAAGAACTCAGGGTGGCAGATGGAACCATTCTGAGAGCATTTACATTGCAAAACACCACACAACGTCGGATATAAGGTGTGACTCACTCCCGCCCCCCTACCAGACTCTTGCAATGCTGGACAGATCATCTAAATTCTCTGGATCTGTGGCTCCTGCTGTCAAATTAAGGTAATATTCAGCGAGAGGTGTTTAAGAGCTGAGTTCTACTCACGATTCTAACACTAACTAGATGTACAACCTTTCGGCAACCATTTGTCCTCTCTTTAATTTCTTCCTCTACAATGGGAATAATAGCAGTGTCTATTGACAGGTGTGAGAACGTAATCAATAAAGTGTGTTCAGCACTGACACACACTGCTTGGTCCCAGTAACTGTACAAAGCCAAAAACTACTACTGTATAAATGTCATTGATACCGAACAAAACTCAGAAAGATACCTAATTATTGACTAGGGTTCTTAAGTAACACAAATTCTAATACTGAAAGCTAGAAAGTCCTCTGACTGCTAAGATTTAGCTGACCCATAGCATAACCAAGAATTTCAGGCACCTAATCAGATAACACAAACATCTTGCCTTTGGGAGGTTGGGGGGTTTAGGAGCTATACCCTAAGGATACTCAAGTCAGGTAAAGCAGCACGGGAAAATTAAGCCACGTGGAGTGCTAGAGAGAGCCCTTTGACCTGAGGGCCAGGAGACCCAGGTTCGGAATGGTAGGAAGTCACCTGCACAGTGTTCCGACATCTTGACCAAGGCTTATGAACCTGATCGCCTGTAACATCCCTTCTCTAATAGTTAAAACAATGTCATGACGTTACTGCACCACCTTTCTCCTAACTTTGACAGTAAATTTTAAAAAATGCATATTTTACTGAATTTTTTGATATTTATAGCCCAAATGGACACCACAAAGCCTAACTAATAGTTAATAAACCAAAAACTGAATTTTGGACAGAATTACACAATAACTATAGCATCAAGTTCCTGAATGAGAAAAACTCCAAATATTGCAGAGCATGAAGTATGAGCCTTATCTTTGCTTTTTCCACTAGAAAAGAAAAAAGATTTCCAGAAAAAGAAAATATTTTCATTTTATTTTTGAAACACATACAATATGTATAAAGATGATATAAATTATAATTGGTGGTTATGATTATTAAAATGCATTGTTACAAAGATATTTTTTTCAGGAAGTGAATTAAGGTAACTTTGACAGCCATCAATCCATGTAAAAGGGACTTTGCTTTTGGTTACAGACTGCATTGATTAGTCTATATGCATTAATTCTTTACACGTCACTTTGGAACATTTAGGCAGTCACTAGAATATAAGGCCCTTAAGGGGAGTGACTTTTTTTTGTTCACTGTTTTGCCCCAGCGCCTGGAGGAGTGCTTGGGGACAGCAAATGCGCACTGTGGTCTGACCACAGTCTGTCCTCCTGGACCATCTGACACACCTGCCTTTCCTCAGGGTGTTCACTTGATCCAATGTGTTCTGGCTTTATGGATGAGACTCAGATTATTCCATTGCTAAATACAACCGATTGTAACCATTTTTAACCTATTAAGCAGATATATTTTCCCTTATAATGTCCACTCATTGGTGTTAGAGTCCTGGTATTATCCAAAATAAAAATTATTGATAATGACCATGTATTAGTGTTAGTTATAGGCCAGGCATTACATAGAAAACTTGTTAGATGCTAATGCTGCAGGTAATCAAGACATCTATTATACTACCTTCCTCTCTAGGTTGACATCACCAATTGCTTCAAGTACCACTTACAAGGTATGGTTTCTGGGCACTTGCCTATGGTAGACACTTTCCTCTAGCCACATCCAAATCAATACATTAATGATGTTCCTAAAATATAGCACGCAGAGCTGCCACAGCACTTCTCAGGAATACCTATGGCATTGACATGTCCTGCCAACCTTGGCCCTAGAATACAAGCTGAGGAAAGATCTAAGAGAGAGACTAAGAAGGAAACGACATTGGGGTGGGGTCCTGGGGACGGAAAGACCATCCCCTCTCCTGGTGCACGCTCTTTAAGAATCTAACACTTGGGTAACTGAGTGGGGAGCTCCAACTATTGAAAGCCAACTTTTGTTATTATTATTTTTATTTTTATTTTTATTTTTACATATACGTGTGATTATTAAGTTTCCACTTTTTGCCTTCACAGAATTAAAAAGGCTTAAGATTCACCAACAATAACAATGTTTAAGATAAGGACTAGAGACAAATACCTCATAAAGAATGAATGAAAGCACCTTTTGAAAAAACAAACAAGGCTCGGCGCCTATGGCTCAACCGGCTAGGGCGCCAGCCACGTACACCTAAGGTGGCGGGTTCGAATCCCCAGCCCGGATCCGCCAAACAACAATGATGGCTGCAACCAAAAAATAGCCGGGCGTTGTGGCGGGCGCCTGTGGTCCCAGCTACTTGGGAGGTGGAGGCAGGAGAC